TTGAGAAATAAAATTAACTTTGTTTACAGTACTGTAGTAGCTAGTGTAGTGTTTAGAAACACCCCTCTTCCACATTAGCATGCYTTCCCTAGGCATCATCTCTGATAGTCCAAAACAATTTATCATAAACACTGTATTCTTGTAGATAAATATATGAAGACGAATCAAAAAGTCTCCTTAAGAGTAAAATATCTTAGCCTTCTGTATATAAAATCTGAATCTGAAAGGTAAAATGTACATTATTTTCAAGTATATAAACKATGTGCTAAAATAAAAAAAAATAAAATAAAATGTCCTCTTTAGTTCAAGCCATGTGTCTGTGAGGGATGTGCACTAGGAGATGGGTCCTCCACGCTGAGGGTCGCTCCTGCCGGCTTCTACAACAAAGCACCAAAACCACCCCAGGTCAGTAAATTGGTCAGCACATTCTAAACTTCAGTTACATAAATATAGCTACTCATCTGAATACGTATTTCAAAAAACAAATTTCAGAAACATTTAAATAAACTTACTTGAAAAAATGATATCCTATTCCAAAGAGACAGTCAACAAGAAAAATATAGAACTAATGTTTCTTACATATGCTAAGACGAGGTTTTCTAGTATTAGGCAAAGTGATATTAATTTGATCAGCATGGTACTACAAAAAAGACCAAGTATGAGCTGATGGTATTGGAATATGTTTTCAAGAATCAAACAAGCAGCTGTGAGAATGATGCAGCCACCAATGAAAACATGGCTAACATTTATTGGTACTACATATGATCCCATGAGGTACAGACTAGTAGGTCATTATCTCTTTTTATCAGCATAAAGATGTGGAGCTGGTGTTTAAATCCAGGCATTTAAGTGAGAAAAACAGGGATACAAAATCACTAAAGCTCAAAAGGTTTCTGAGGACTGTGTGATACTTCCCTAAACATAGCAGCAGAACCAAATACTTATTCCGGTTCTTTTCTTTGCCAGTTTAAAATTTAGTGGTAAAATAACAAATAACTTTATTAGGGGCTGCAGTTGTGGCTCAGTGGTAGAGCACTTGCCTAGAACATGTTGAGGCATTGGGTTCAATCCTCAGCACCACATAAAAATAAATAATAATAATAATAATAATAATAATAATAAAGATACAAAAAAAACTTTATTAAATTTGTTTTATTTTTGGTGCTGGGGACTGACTCCAGGTTTTACACATGCAAGATTACATACTCTACCAGAGTGTCCCCAGTCCCTATTATTAACCATTTTTCCCCATCTTAAAAAAAATTGATTTACRGGGGATAGTAGAGGATAGGAAAGGCAGCAGAAYACAACATACACTAGTATGGCAGTAGGTAAAAAAGTGGATATGTAACCGATGTGAATCTGCAATATGTATATAGGGTAAAAATGGGAGTTCATAATCCGCTTGAATCAAATGTATGAAATATGATATGTCAAGAACTTTGTAATGTTTTTGAACAACTAATAAAAAAATTGATTTACTTTTTAAATTGGAAAATATAAACGGTATATATTTATGGTGTATGATATGGTGTTCTGAACTATGTATACAATGGATTGGYTGAATAAAGCTTATTAATATATGTATTACCTCACATACTTGTCATAAGAACACTTAAAGTCTATCTTCACCAATTTTCAAATATATAATATATTGTTAACTAGAGTCACCATGTTGTATAAACATGTCTTGGAACTTATTCCTCCCTTTTAACAGAAATTTTGTATGCTCTGGCCAGGGTCACCTCAAATCCAAATACTCTGAGCTCCCTACAAAAGAGGGGTAGATAGACTGGACAGTGGGAGGAGCAGGCAGCAGGGACCCTTGCAGGGGATGCTCCACTCGCAGTTCCACACTGATTGATTAGCTGCTCCTGTCAGCCCAGCAACATTTTCCTAACCATAAGCAAAACTGCATTACATTCTGTAAGTACTAACGTCCACTTCAAATAACTGATTTTTAAAATTTAGCATTTCTCAATTTATACTATGACTGTTACAGGATACAAAGAACATTATTATACAAGTTACCAGTTAATTTACTAGAGAACAATACTTAGGATTAAAGAAAGGACAAAGAGAAAAAAATAAAAAGTGAGCCTCCAAAAGAGGCTGGGGTTCTCAGGAAGGGGAATCCAGCTTCTTTAGAATGTACCTGACATTCTGTTGTTTTGTAAACCTAGTTTCTTTTTTCATTTTCTTTACTTCTATTCACTATTTTGAGTTTTGTTATCTTCTAAGTAGGCACCTGAAGAGAGACTATGGTGAAGTGCAACACAACAAGGCAGATGGCAAGAAACTGGAAACTACTTTTGAAGGACATTCAGAAGGGCTGGAGCCTGCATTTGCACATTCTCAAGGCTGGCCGTGTGCCAGAGAAAGCAAATTCAGTTTTCTTTATAAAGCCTGAAGGCAACAGCAAAATTCATACTGGTAGCACTTTGGCTTAATACAATGAGATGCCTAAAAATAAGATCCATTTCTAAGAGGCTGCCCTGGACGGTGAAGAGATCAACCCTGACAATTTTATGGTTCTGTATCCATTCTCCTTTTGCTTTCGAAAGGCGCTTTTTTTTTTCTTGGTACCAGTTTAAAACTTCAATTCTAGTGTTTCTACTATCTTTACCTCACATGTTAAAAAACAAATTAAATTTGAATCTCACTGCTTTGAAAAATATGCATTTTTATTCCAGGATGCAACATTCAAATTGGCAAGCATCAACTCTTCCTACTTACAATAACCTACAAGTTAATTCAATTCCAACAAAAATTCAGATGAGATTTTGATTAGGCAAAATTATTTTAGAAATAATCTTTAAAGAATGCAGAATACCTCAGAAATTTTGTAAAAGAAGAATAAAGAAATAATTTCCCTGCCTTGCAATATCAGAAAATTTTTTTTTGTGGAGTGGAGGTAATAGCTCGGTGGTACAGCATGTGTCTGGCCTGTGAGAGGCCAGGGTTCAAAGCACAACAAAAGAAAGAAAAAACTAATAATTAGCATTCACTAAAGAATCTATGAAGAAATGTTAGGAAAACAAACAAGTTAGTTAAATCTACCAGCCACTTACCAAGTAATGCTGTGTTTTCCCCTGCATCTTCTTTGAAAGTGGTAGGGCACTGTGGCCCAGACTCATTAGTGGATGAGGATGGCAGGTTGCTGCCACTGCCACTGTTTCTGCCCTCCTCTTGTGAAGCTACACTCATATTCCCAGGCRAAGTGCTTCCAGGGGTAGACTCAGGAGTGGGCAGCTCCTGAACATCCTCAGGTTCTGCTCCCTTGAAAATCCGAACAGAAGAAAATGCCTTTTCTAAGTAACTCCATCAGTACTTAACTGTCCYCTTGCTCACAGTATGTTAACACGTCACTGACATTTGAACACAGAACGTGGCAAAAGTGAACAGGCTCTGGACAACAGAATGCTTCAGACTATATTCTGGTTTTCTTAAAACAAAATAAAACAAAAAAACAACTTAGTCCTGGAGTCCTGGCTCTTACTCTCAGCTGTAGTTTGCTTTGTGCTTCCCCTCTTTTACATTTGCTACTTAAATAAAATAATGAAAGGAGGGCCAGAGGCTCCCTGGCACCAGGACATTAAGTCTCCGACATTTGGGGGGATATCCAGACATTGTTGAGGAATGCTAGAGTCAAGGCTGCATGTGAATAGATGACACTGCTGAAAGGTGACTTACTAAGTGAGGGTTACCACAGCCTGATTTGATCCTGTGGTTCACGGAGCACTCCACCTCTGTCCTCTGGGCTCTCAGGACACCACTGGCCTGTTTCAGCTGTGTCCAGAACAATCTCCTCCTCCCTTACCAGTAACTAAACACCTTTGACACCCAGCATTGAACGTTCCCTCTCACCTCAACTCCCAACACACCAAGTAACAAATCCTGTTGCTGCTGTGTTACCACAATGCCAAACTCCTGCTGAACCCCACCACAAGCTGTTTATTTAAAATCTGCCTGACCTAACTACCTGGAGGCCTCCCATCCCATAGGTCACCCCTGGAGACACACCATCAGTCAGTAGTACACTGAAGTGCTGCTAAAATCCTTTAACACYCAGCTCAGTGGCCCAAATAAAATGCACTACCTCCATCTTCTCACTTCTCCTTGCTTAATACTCCAGCCAGTATCTCAAACACTGTTCTCTTGTCATGTTCTACCTGTGTACTGGTCCCTACCAGTCCTGAAGGTCAAATTCCCAAGAGCCCTCAATCAGAGGGGCTGTGTCTTATCCATCTTAACCTCACTAGAGCCAAGTTCAGATTTAACACCTAAATGGCATTCCTTTATCAGTGCTCACTGAATGAATAAAAACAGTGACAAACAGTATTACAGTGCAAAAACCAAATGACGGTTCTTAAAGTCTGTGTGAGGGGCCACTGGTGACTTTCAMATGATCATGAAAAAACAGAGAATTAGACACTACAAAAAAAGCACACCATGGCTATCGAAAATATCCAAGGCAAGAGGAGTTGATGGGTTAAAGAAAATGGCAAACCATGTAAAGACTAAAAAAAAAGTAAGACAAGTGAATTCTTTTGTCAGCCCTAAAGTTACTATAGGTTTCTACCCTTCAAAAACTAAATTAGGCATCCTGGGGACAAAAGTCTAGCTTTCTGAAATTAACATTCTAAGAAAGCAGGTTAACTCTATGCAAAATGAAGACTCGTTTGACTTTTAATATACAAATATACATGGAGTTATGCTTCCCAAATCAAAACTCATGAGGATCAAAGTCTCTACTAAGTAAGGTCAGTGAAATTCCCTCATACAAATGTCCAGAAGTGAACAGCAAGTTTAAAATTATTGACTAATGAAGAGAATAATCTAGTAAAACTTCAGAGTATACCTAACTAAAAAGACAATTCTATGACTGCCAAGAAAATAACCTGTCAAACTCCTTGTGTTCTAGCATTTAAAATGCTGAACCAGGAAGGCTCAGTTTCTCACTAAGCTAGTTTCTGCAGCAAAGAGGACAAGAGCTAAGCCCGCTGGGGAAGYATGTTATGCCATGCTGAAGAAAGCTACAATGATTTTAAAACCACAATAAGTTAACTTTAGAAATCATGGAAGCGAGACAAATTTTCAGGACATCAAAGGATGAGGTTCTAGTAAAGCAGTTCTTGATCACTGGACTTTCCTCTTCCTGGATACCTAAAGAGAGGTTATTCTGGGACTCGTTTTGCAGTTATTAAGGAGAGGTCTCTTCAGTATCTTCGGAAGACACTGTAAGCTAGATGAGAGGAAGTTTCAGGCAGACCTTCAGCCCAGGAGACATGCACAAGGCCCTGGGTTCAATCCCCAGCACTAAAAAACAAATCTATATCTTTGTAGTTCCTATTCTATAATAAGCTCTACAAAAAAACCTCTAAAACTATGTTTAGCTACAAGAAAAATAAAATCAATGTTCAAACTATTCTTTTCAAAGATCTCTACCTAAAAATKTTATTATGAGTGTATTTTGAGCCATTAATATATTTTATGTAGACTCTGAAAACAATAAAAATGTGACAATCTAGAAAAATAATTTTTTCCTCTATATCCTTCTCTTTGGGTTGGATAGTAATTAAGAATGTGAACTCAGAATTAAGCAAACGTGTTTGAAAGCTAATCCCTCATGAACTAGCTGCACAACTTTAGATATTCAGCTTCTCTAAGCACAATTTTGTAACTAGTAGGACAGTTGTGGGAGTAAATATAATCATGTGTTTAAGGCCTTTAGCAAGCACATGGCTGGTTGCTGTTATAATCTCTTTCATTTTGCCCTCATGTCTTCTGAGAAAGATTTCTGACCATCTATATATTACAAACTAATGGACCAAAATCAATGCAGAACGATGTCTCCAGCACTATTTAATTTTGAAATCCAGGGATAAGGAGAACTGATATGAAGAAGTGTTGACTTTAGTTTCCTCTTATGTAAAATGTGCACTGAAGCCAGAAAAGTTGTGGGGTTCCTTACGATTCTTGTTTATACGAAACTGACTACCATATAAACATTTTGCAGTGTAGTATACCAAGATATATTGGTCTAAGTAATTAGAAATTTTCTGGGGGACATCCTGGCCTATTATTATACCATGAATTGAATTAATTATTATTTTTTTTAACTTTAAGAATTTGTTTTTAACAAAGAGGAAAACTTCTTAAAAAGAGCCACAAGGATATAAGAAGGAGCTTGTCTGGTCTTCTTGTCTCTAGTCAATAATGAAATCTATCACTCAGGAAGAACTGGGGCAGAGATTAAATATAAACAAAAATGTAACAAACCCAATATCCCAGGGCTTTGATGACATCAAGTTTACACATTGGACATGTTCGGTGATCCAAAAGCCATGGGTCAATGCATATTCTATGAAAAATATGCCTAAAAAAATTAAGTATGTGTTAATGTTTTAAAATAAATGTTTATATATCTTATAAAGGAAATAAGACATTCTATCAACTCATCCCCTCAGTACAAGTTAACCAATGTCAAATCAACATTCTAGAGTAGTCATTTTTCCTAAATTATCAGCTAATCTACTTTGTACTTACAACAGAATTTGGGACTTCCAGTAAAATGTTCCCTTCACTCCACAAAAACAGCATGGCTTATTTCCATCCCATGCTATGTTGTACATTTCTATGTGCTTGAAAAAATTACCTGCAAGACTTTTGGGAATAAATGTGGCTTAAGTAAGCTAAGACTAATAAATTAATAATATTAAATTGATAGTATTTTATATGGGTCCATAAAAGCATTCAAATGGAAAATATATCAAAATATTAACAAGTCATCTTTGGGTGGCAGGCTTAAAAAATATTTTTATAAACATTCTACATTTTTCTATCAGAATTTTTAAAGGGCATATATATTTTCTTCTTTTAGTGATTCGCCATTATTTCCTCCCATGTGATGGATGAGTCTATTTTCTATGTGTGAGGAAGACAGGGCATGAAATATGGGCTTTAGAATAAAACAGATGGGGATCAAAAGCCAGCTGTGCGACTCAACAGCCTTGACCCTGGTCGAGGCTCCTGCCCTCCCTCTCTGCATATAGAGCACAGGCTGCTCTGAGAGGCACAAACAATGTGTGTACAAGAGTGCTGGGTAGAGCACATGTCTAGTACAATCATTTGAAGAGCTTCCTTCAAATAGAAATCCCCTACGTCAGGTAAGGTAACAGTTCTTAATTATATCATAGTCTAATTCACCTTGCCTTTTGATTTTCCATCTGCAAACTAAAAACTGACAGACCCAAGGAAACAATTTTTACAAAAAAAAAAAAAAAAAAATTATTGGGAATATGTTATATAAATCACAGGAGAAAACTGGGAAATAAGTCAAAATCCCAATGAGCAGCCCAGGAAATGTACATGTCTGCATTTGACAGTCAAGTACAAACCCCACCTCAGCCATCAGTATAGACACCTAGGCTCATCTGTGCAGCATAGAGAGCATTATTTCTTAAGGAAAACATGTCCTAAACCAGCCTAGAGTAACTTTAATGATGTTAAAGAGGACATGATCAACCTATACTGAGACCAATTCATTAGGTACCCACACCTACTTTCATTCAGGAAACTTTTGACTTTGATATTCTGATACTCGTTCCTTTATTTCCTTCACAGAATTATCAAGAACTTAGTCTACCCTGCAGTAGTAGATTATACACTAACATGCTTTGCAAACAAATATATTAACTTATGACATGCTTCTAAAAGGTGTTAAGAATAACTGAAATTTATCTGACTTAAAATATAATTTCTGTACATAAAATAAACCCTTCTGCTAAAAAAATAATTCTTCTAAAAGTTATCAATTAAAGTAGCCTAAAAAGGAAATCACAACTTCCTGGTGCTAAAACTGAACTTGAGCAAAACTTAGTTACTGTAACCCAAATAAAGGGAGGAATATTTATTTTTCACAACCACAAAGAGAACTCGAACTCAGGGTAAAATAGCAAACCACGGCCCTCCCCACACCTGCTTCCTGCTGGCTGTTTTAGGCCCATTCCCTTGGGTCCTTCACCTTTTTGCTTCAATTTTCTTGCTCCTGATATAGCATACTTTGCTAAGTATATAATAAAATTCCCAGCATTCTAATGAATACCTGCTTATGAGACTAGAAGCTCATCTATGACAAAGATGTACAGTGGGTCTAATGGTCATGGAGGTGTCCTAAGAAAAGCAATTTTAAAGAGCCTTGAAGACAGTAAGAAAACCTAAGCTTCTCTTTCAAAAGATGAGATGATCAAAGATAGCAAGATCTTTATACCATAAAAAGGACAYGGAACTCTTTTGTCAGGATACTGAAACTTGTCCAGCAATTATTAATGTCTCAGTAGGTTAAAAAAAAAAAAAAAAGAGGAAAAAAAAACATACTTGCATGGCAGAATTCTGATAACGTCCTTTACTTTAAAATTTTCAATACACACTGCACAATTCTCGGCATCAACATCAATTCCCTGTAAAAAGAAAAGGAAAGAATTTACTTTATCCTTGGCATTAGCACATCCTTCAAAAATGCACTATATACTGACTAAAACAATGATGGATTCTATTTTACATTGGGATAACATGAAACTAAAATTCAGATGATTATATTTGGTATTTACTTCTTACTACTATCAAGAGGTTATCTAAGGAATGAGGCTGAAAATGAAAAAATTTTACTGTTTGCCTACTCAGACACAATAGTATTTAAATACGCTAGGAAATGCCTGCCATATTATGATGAAATAAATCATTTCTCAAACATAAACCTTGCACTTTAATGAAAAGAATAAATATCCAGGAAATTACTCATTTCCTAGAATCATTAAAAAGAAATTTACATCTGCTAAAGACACATTTATAATCTGCAAATGAGAAAAYGAAAATGGCTACATATCTGAAAATATCTACCTCACTAGTACTAAAAGAATTACAAATAGGAATAAGTCATTGTTTTTCATGTAATGAATTAACAAGGATACAAAGAAACAAAAATTGCTGGAGAAGAAAGTCTTGTGACAAAATTTCCACTTCTAAGAATTTATGGGTCAGCCCTCTCCACTTCTCTGGGTACCCATGGATCCATACACCTGGTTCTATCCCATCAACCAAGCAGTCAGGGCCAGAGTGATCATTGTCCCAAGACAGAACKGACTTCTGGGACAGGGATTCAGGAACTCAGTGCTGAATGTGGCTGCAAAGTTCATTTTATGAAATATGACTACATTATCCTTATAATTACTTAAAAATACATTTAGCTAATATGCCACTTATAAAAAAAGAAAGCAGTTAAGAACCGAATTTTGTATGAAAATAATGTTATCAAAGACCATGTTAAAATCAAGTTTATACCAACATTTTAAATTATACACTGCAATAAAAGTAAATATTGTCATTTATTTATCATATGCCATGCAAAAATAATGAAACGATTTTAACAATTTTTTGATATCTACTTTTTTTTGCAATACTGGGGATCAAACCCACGGCCTTGCTAAGCATGTGCTCTACCACTGAGCTACATTGTCAGCACTAAAATGATTTTTTGAAGTCCTTAATAATGGCAATAAAGTTTACACATTACTATTAGTAAATCTACACAAAAGAAAAATTGGAAAAAAAAAAAAGAATGTCAGTATCCAAAACCAGGTTAAGATATAGACTACAAAAAATACATGTTTAAAATGTAAAACTGTCATAAAATCCATGTATCGATATAACTCATGGAACACTTATGGATCTTCTTTTTTAACTATTACTCTGACAACTTTCAAAAAACTGTCTCTGGGGGGGAAATATATATATATATATATTTTTTTTTTTAAATGTGCTGTATAGGAAGAAGATAATATCAATTTACTTATGTTTTCAAAGACTCAATTCCATTAATTACACATACGAATCTACGTCTTCTCATATGGTATAACGGTGGTTCCTGAAGAGAGCAGAAGGCATTCATGTTCCAGAGGAACATAGAACCATATGCTTATTCAGTAACTAGTTATGCAGAATGGGTTTAGAATCTACCAAGGGCATTAACTGGAAAGTCTCTCCTAAAGAACCCTTAGTGATTTGTAAATCAGATGCTAATCTTAAGCCATAAAGAGTGTTTTTTCTTATATTTCTTTTTTATTTTTTCTGTTCAAAACATTTATACAAAAAGAAATCATTACCTTGTAACAAACTACTAAAATTCAAATGTACTGCAATGTAAGTTATATTAGGGAAAGAATCGTAGCCACCAATATAATTCTATATATTCTATATATATATTCTATAGTATCTTAATACTAACTATATCACATAAACCATTAATAACAGATTTCAAAATTTTATACTCTGTAATTTAATGTGTTATTTTTGTTTTAATCATCCTTTAAGTAGGTTAGAGGAAGAAATATGTACTGTAAATGTAGTTTCTCTTCCTTTTGGTGGGGGAAGAGGGTAGACTAGAAACTAGAGAATGGAGAAGATTAAGTTTCAACAACAAAACAACTGAACCAATCCCACAACTAAAGTCAACACTAGYTAGCAACATTTCAAAGCACCAAAGAGGGACCATTAAAAAAATAAATACTACCGCATTAGTAACAGCTTTCCTTTTAGGCAATCTATATCACTCTAGATTCAGGATTTGTCCTATTCCAAAATGCTTTAAGTTTCTGGTATGATTCTAAATCTTTAAAGTCTCAGCCCCTCCCAACCCCAAAAGTTTACTTTTTTTTTTTTTAAATAAAAAAGTAGTTTTAAAGATATCTTTTTTTTTTTTTTCCTTTTCCACAAATATCAAGTATGTTTTTCCTGTACTTGGGGGAATCAGAGAGAATGGACATGTAGTCTCAAATTTAACAGAAATGAATTTAAGGACTCACAGGTCTATGGTATAAACTTTAAGTTCTGCAGCTTCTTTATAGTCACCCAGATCTGTCCAATAGCACTTTCTAAGATGATGGGCATGTCAGTGCCATCCAACATGGCAGCTCCTGTCAACATGGCTACTGATCACTTGAAATGTAGCTAGTGTGACTGAGGGACACAATTTTAAATTTAATTCACTTAAATAGCTGTATGTGACTAGTGGCTAACCCTCAGGACAGCACAGATCTGGAATGTTCTTCAACCTCAGTATTTCTACTAATCCTCTTTACAATAAATATATACATACAAGTTAATACTAACTCAATTCACCAAAGCGCCACAGACTGGATACTGTGAATTAAAAGACGGGAAGGGAAGTATTACTCAAGACATAAACACATCCTCTAGTCCAAACCAAGAAACAAAACAACACAGTATAAAAGTATTACCTTTTCTCCATGCTTTACAGTATGAAGTAGAAGCTGGCCAATAAYTTTCTTAGTTTCCTTTCTATGGCTCTTGGAGAGAAAATTATTATTATTATTAATAAATTAATAATAAAATATCATTATTATTGTTGAAATTTTCAAATTAAATCACTATTTTATAAAAAATTATATGCAAGCATATAGAAAAAATTTCATTAAAAAGTCAATTTTTAATTTCATATTACAATGAAAATAACTAAAAATACCTTCATCACCATTTTAAGTCTTAATATATACAACAGTCATATAACTTAAGAGCTATTTGACAAAACTTATTTTCAATTCTATGTCTGAAGAAGAAATCAACTTTTTTAGTCTGTATGTAGTGCTGTGGAGATGAAACTCAGGGCCTCAGATATGCTAAACATGTGATCTACCACTGACCTACATACACCTCAGCCACAGAAACCAATTCTATGTCTAAATATCAGCAAGAAAGAAATAGGCTGAGGATGGAGGTACCATATGCTCACTCTGTCAGCCATCCCCCTTTATGGTACTAGGGATYGAACCCAGGGTTGCTTAACCTCTGCCCTTTTTATTTTTTATTGAGACAGGGGTTTGCTAAGTTGCTTAGGCTGGCTTTGAACTTGCAATCCTCCTGCCTCAGCCTCCCAAGCCGTTGGGATTACAGGTATTCACCACCATGCCCAGCATCAAGGGACTTAAAAACAAAGAGCCCTTCCTATGTCATCAGTCAGGAAGGCCAACTTTGCATAGGCACAGATCCTGCTACTGGAAGCCTCTGGCTCTTCATCAGCCCTCAACTCTGCTGATACTGAGATAGGGTCTCTCTGAAGGGAAATAGCTTGACAGCTGCTCCACAGTGGAGACAGGGATGCTCGTTCCCTGTCTTTAGGCCAGCTCACAAACCCAGGTTATGAGAGCAGGTTCACTACATCTGGTAYCTTTTTGCCATTGCTCTCTGTCTGGAAAAGGACAGATGATATGTGCAGGAACTGAATGTGCAAAAAGTGTCCTAAACTTAAAAAATAGTTTTTAATCTTCCACAAGATAGAAAATTTAATGCATTCTAATTAGAAAGTTAGTTTCAAAAAGTCATATGAATACTTATATGAGAAGGAAATAAAGAATATGGTCAAATATAACTTAAAGCAATATATATCTTTTCAAAAGTAAAAATAAAATTATCCATAATTACCTGACTTCCAAACTGCGAGCCAGTATACAGGAAACGTTGTATATAGTAAAATATTAGCCAGGCTAAGGAGATAATCATCATAGTGATGAAGGCAATGGCCACAAACACCACAGACTGACCGCTGATGAACTCCTGCACATGACGGGTGCCAATCCCTATGGTCACTTTTACTGGAATTCCTTTTTGTACCACATCTAAAATTTCTCTTCCTTTTAGATAGCTAACCATAATGACCACTATACTTCCTGTTCCTGTAGGAAGGATCAAAGAAATCAATGTAAGACAAAAGAAAGCTATGTTCATCAACACACATTTGAAAACTTCAAAGAAAAAAAATTGAAAAATTTTCAAGGAAAACATCAGTTATCAAAATTGATTCCAAAAGAGAAAATAGACTGATCTCATGAGGAAAAGTAGAATCAATCAYCAAGAAGTACCTTCCCAAAAGCCAGGATACCCTTCATTTTCTTGGGTGACATCTATACCACCAAACCTTTAAGGTTAAGTACTGCTGATGATATTTAAATTGTCCCACAGCTGACTGTAAGGGGACAAAGGAAGTTTTAAAATTATTTCTAAGATTATAAGCCCAAACATAGAATAAAAGGCAAAAGAACCAGCCTGACTAATTTTACTTGCATATAATAATATATAATACCAATTAAAATCAGGGAGGCAATATGAGAATTTCACTATGATCACTATTATTTAACATTGCTCTGAAGGCACAAGCAACCATGAGATTAAAACAAATAAAGAGAAAAGGGGCAAAATAATCAACATAAACCTGGCTATAAATGAATATAACAATGATTAAATATAAATAGGATTAAAGAAAAACATTAATATTCTACTTCTAAAGTCATTTAGGGAAAAAATAATCAGGAATGGATCAAGCAAACTTATATATATATATATATATATGTATTTTTTTTAGTTATAGTTGGACACAATACCTTTATTTATTTATTTATTTTTATGTCGTGCTGAGGATCTAACCCAGGGCTTTGCACGTGCTTGGTGAGTGGTCTACCACTGAGCCACAACCCAGCCCCCAGGAAAACTTTTTAAATTAACTAAAACAGAATGGTAGTAGCATATGAAGGCACTCAAAAAATAGCACAGAATAAAAACACCAGAAATAAACATACAAAACTATGTGTGTGTGTGTGTGTGTGTGTGTGTGTGAGAGAGAGAGAGAGAGAGAGAGAGAGAGACAGACAGACAGACAGACACACTAGAAGAAACGGGGGAATTAAGAGAGAGAGAGAGAGAGACAGACAGACAGACAGACACACACACACACACACACTAGAAGAAACGGGGGAATTAAAAAACTAATTTCCCAGCCAAATGTGGTGGTACAGTTCTGTAATCCCAGCTACTCAGGAGGCTGAGGCAGGAGGATCACAAGTTCAAAACCAGCCTGCACAACTTAGAGAGATCCTGTCTCATAATTTTAAAAAAATTGTTAAAAATGGGCTAGGGCTATAGCTCAGTGGCAAAGCACTTGCCTACCATGCTTAGGACCCTGGGTTCCATCCCCAGTACTGTAAAACAAACAAATTTCCTATAAGAAAGAGGACGACTGAAAAACAAAGAAAGTCAGTTTTCAGGATGGAAAATACAAATGGTTTTTAAAAATAGCAGCTTAGGGCTGGGGATGTGGCTCCAGCAGTAGTGCGTTCCTCTGGCATGCATGGGGCCRTGCATGGGTTCGATCCTCAGCACCACATAAAAATAAAATAAAATTAAGATGTTGTGTCCACTGAAAACTAAAATAATAATAATATTTTAAAAATTCTTTCTCTCTCTCAAAAAAAAGCAGCTTAATTGATATATAATTCATACCTAAAAATCATCCTTTTAATGTATACAATTCAGTGATTTCAAGCAAACTGACTAGTTGCAGAAGCATTACTATCATTTAATTCTATAACATTCCCATCATCCCATAAAGAAACCCCTGTGTCCATCAGTATCCATCCCCAACAAGTAGATTTCAAACATGAAAACTCATGGAACAAGTGAAAAGATGTGATATGTAAGATTGTAAGAGACACTCTCTTGTACAATGCTGGGGGAGTGAATTACAACATTCTTGTATGGGGGTGGGGGAATGGTTACCAAAAAATTTAGACGCACCTTTCTCTGACCCAGCAATTCTGTGTCTAAGAATGTAATTAAATGATATACTTATACATAAATATGGTGGAATATCTATAAAGATACTTTATTGCTAAAGTTTTTTCTTTCTTCCTTCTTTTTTTTAAAGTAATAAAAATTCTTGCTGTCAAAACAAGACATAACAGAAGACAATAAATTGTCCTGATAATTTTAGACTCTAGGCTACTCAATGAGGTCAGCTCCTTATATAAGATAGTATCCAAAACAAATAACAAAAGGTATCTGAGATAGTGTTCAAGACAGGGTCTATACATGTACACATAAGGAGAATACAAAGGCAGTTTCTTGATTCCCTTTCCTTTGTAAGATATGTGCTGCATGTACCTTTTGGTGAAAAATGCTTTCATGAAAAATTGTGAATGTTTTCATTTCTCCCTGCGCAAAAACAAAAACAAGTTTTAGGCCCTGACCTGAAAAAGGAAATCAAATTACTATGAAACTAATTTCACATAAATATCAAATCAAGACTACAACTGTACATATCATCTTCTTTACTTCAAATGAGTAGAATCAATTTCCTCCCTTAGGGAGTTTTCAAATTGGCATTAAATTAGTCTTACTTTAAGGTACAAGAAAGAGGAGGCAAAACTAGTGTCTGAGAGGCAGGGGTGTAGCTCAATTAGGACAAGCTTTGTAGTAACATTTCCAAAAATGAAAAATTAAAAAAAAATCATTTCTTTAGCTGGGGCCTCTCTCTCAATGACAGAGCATGTGGGAGGCCCTGAACCTCCAGCACTAGGGAAAAAAAAAAAACACTGTGAAATACAAAAGAGAAGCATCTCTCCAACAGCAGTGGCTCAGAAGGTACAAAGAGGTATGAGGAACCAGCTATAGGACAAAGGAAATCTATCAGGTCTACCAAGAAGCAAGGGAGACCCTGGTTTCAGCCTTGGAAGTAGAGTCCCTGCCAAGTTAACTTGTTAGCTATTAACTATAACCAGATCTGAAACATATCTGAGGTCTCCCTAACTAACAAGACTGGAGCATAGGACATGCAGCACAGTCAAGGCCAAAGCTGTCTTACCTAGTCAGTGACACCTCTATACCATGATTTGTCATTGTACTGATGGTGGTAAAAGAATCCAGAAGCTTAGGGTTTCAACCAACACAAATATTAAGTTCTTGTATAGGGTAAACAAATAAAAAATAGGTTAAGTGGATGCCCCAAATATTACTTCTAAGATCATATGGCATAACTTTAAAGGGGTACAAATGGTTTCATCTACACGAGGATAAGCTTTGTACTAATGTTTCCAAAAATGAAAAATTAAAAAAAATTATTTCTTTAGCCGGAGCCTCAGTTTAAAAGGTTCTTAAAAATATACCTTTCCTATATCACAGCCAAGATAAGGTTAAGAAATYCCCATCCAGCATCCCTGGAATTGAGAGAGAGCTCTAGATGCCAAGTGAACTTACAAAGCACACCCAAAACAGGGTTTGAGATTATAGGCCTGTAGGGGCTGTTTCTTCCTTTCTATCACCAGTTATGTCCATCTTGGGTAGTTAGAAAATTGCTGGATCTTCAGTCATTTCAGTGGCCCAGACACAGATCAGCTCCACTGGAGGGTTTCCGGGCTTCCTGGCAAAACCTCCAGAACCAGACTTCAGAGAGGATACTGATCGATAGTGCCTCCATTGATCTGACAAGTTTCTGTCCTTAACCCACTTCCAGGACCCATAATGCTAGAATATGGGCCAGGTAAGGCATTAGAGGAACCAGAAGTAAATCAGCCTCTGGGTCCCTGTGCAGAGAAAGAATGGAATACTGATGATGGTGAACTGGGTAGATATAGGCTGCTTCTCTTCTTTTGATCTCTCTCTGCCCTGCAACTTCAGTTTACAAAGTACTTCTGCCATTTGAAAGCCCTTGGTCTTCTGGGTGATAAGGCCCTGGTGGAAAGTGCAGCCACTACCTCTCARTGATGCCTATTGTTGATAATGCTGAGAGCTTTCATGATTTGCTTCATGACTGCAGAATTCATGATGATATGGGTAGTTCTAGCCTTCACTACCTGGACATTGTCCACACTGTCAATGGTCATGGCAGGGGACAATTCACAGGCCTCTCCTTCTTATACCCTGGTAAGGTGATCACACTTGCACTCTGGAATTGCTGCATGTGTTAGATGCAGAAATCCTGAGCCTAGGATTCTCAATGACATCACTGTAGCTGAGTGGCTGGTGGTACATCCTCATGGGCAGGCATATCTTGCCTACAGGCCCACTAGACACAAGAAGAAGCACTTCTGGATGTCTTGAAGCCATTTGAAGACTGGGCTTTGGGTACTTTTTCTATATAGATTGTAGAGCTGAATTCCTATTACAGTTTAAATGTGAGGTGTCCTCAGAAAGTTCATGTGTGAGATAATGCAAGATGGTTTAGAGATGAAATGTCTGGGTTAGGAATTAACTGAGTGGTAACTGTAGACAGGTAGGGTGGAGGATTGCCTTTAAGGTATATATTTTGTCCTTGAGCAAAACTACCGGGTCTCTCCCTCTCTCTCTCTCTACCTCCTGATGCCATGCTCCCAAATGCCTTCCTCCACCACACACTTCCTTTTTTTAAACACTATTTTTTAATTTGTTTTAATTAGTTACACATGACAGTACAATGATCTCAACATATCATACATTTGAATCAGATGGGATATAATTTCTAATTTTTCTGAGTGTACAGGTTGCAGAATTACATTGGTCATGCAGTCACRTATATACCCACAGCAATAATAATGTCTATTTTATTCTGCTGTCCTTCCATTCCCCCCTTCCCCTCCCCTCACTTCTCTCTACCCAATCTAATGTGACCCACTTCTTTTTTTTTTTTCCTCACATCGTCATACCTGAATTCTGTATAACAAAGGGGGTCTCCTTCCCTCTTCCATGCAATTCCCATACTCACTCCTTTTCCCTCCCACCTCTCTTCCCTATCTAGAGGTAATTTTCTCCTCATGTTCTTCCTCCCTACCCCATTTTGAGTCACCTCCCTTATATCAGAGAAGATATTCAGCAATTGTTTTTTAGGGATTGGCTAACTTCACTTAGCATAATCTGCTCTAATGCCATC